TTCTCAACTGAATCATCCGCATCTCCTCCTTCCACATTATCATCTGAATCAACATCAGAATTCTCAACTGAATCATCTGCATCTCCACCTTCCACATTATCATCTGAATCAACTTCCGAAATCTCAACTGAATCATCCGCATCTCCACCTTCCACATTATCATCTGAATCAACATCCGAAATCTCAACTGAGTCTTCTGCCTCTCTACCTTCCACATTATCATCTGAATCAACATCCGAAATCTCTACTGAATCATCTGCATCTCCACCTTCTACATTATCAGCTGAATCAACATCCGAATTCTCAACTGAATCTCCCGCCTCTCCACCTTCCACATTATCATCTGAATCCACATCCGAAATCTCAACTGAATCTTCTGCCTATCCACCTTCTACATTATCATCTGAATCAACATCCGAATTCTCAACTGAATCATCTGCATCTCCACTTTCCACCTTATCATCTGAATCAACATCAGAATTCTCAACTGAATCAACTGCATCTCCACCTTCCACCTTATCATCTGAATCAACATCAGAATTCTCAACTGAATCATCTACATCTGCATCTTCCACATTATCATCTGAATCAACATCTGAAATCTCAACTGAATCAACTGCATCTCCACCTTACACCTTATCATCTGAATCAACATCCGAATTCTCAACTGAATCATCTGCGTCTCCACCTTCCACATTATCATCTGAATCAACATCCGAATTCTCAACTGAATCATCTGCATCTCCACTTTCCACCTTATCATCTGAATCAACATCTGAAATCTCAACTGAATCAACTGCATCTCCACCTTACACCTTATCATCTGAATCAACATCCGAATTCTCAACTGAATCATCTGCATCTCCACTTTCCACATTATCATCTGAATCAACATCCGAAATCTCAACTGAATCAACTGCATCTCCACCTTCCATCTTATCATCTGAATCAACATCCGAAATCTCAACTGAATCTTCTGCCTCTCCACCTTCCACGTTATCATCTGAATCAACATCCGAAATTTCAACTGAATCATCTGCATCTCCACCTTCTACATTATCATCTGAATCAACATCAGAATTCTCAACTGAATCATCTACCTCTCCACTTTTCACATTATCATCTGAATCAACATCCGAATTCTCAACTGAATCTTCTGCCTCTTCACCTTCCACATTATCATCTGAATCAACATCAGAAATCTCAACTGAATCATCCGCATCTCCACCTTCCACATTATCATCGGAATCAACATCAGAATTCTCAACTGAATCATCTTCTCCACCTTCCACCTTATCATCTGAATC